AAACAACATAGTTTAAACAACCAACGTAACAAACCACGAATCGATTTCGGTACTCACGTCCTTATTGGGTCTTGAAATAATATACATGTTAAATGGGCCTTAGTTGTCCTTTTTTTCATGTATATTGGGCCCGGGATATATATATTCTCATTCCTTTTGAGCCTGGAAATAATTTGCATGCTTAGTGGGCCTTAGTTGTCCACTTCATGTTTATTGGGCCTAGAATACCTTACATGTTTTCTTTTCGCGTAAATTCGATTAAGGATCTAATGAGACGTGTCGGTTGACACCTGTTGAGTGTACAATCGTAGCTTGTAGTTATAACTAGAGTCTCCTGGAAGGAGAGCGGGAGTTTGTGTATAGATCATGATACGCCCCGAGATTTAGATCTCGTGACAGGTCCTGTGCTTGTGCTTCCTGCAGCCGTGAGTACTATTAAGACCTAATCTCCCTGGAGAGGAGACTAGGTTAAACTATTCTAAGAGATTAAAATAATTGATTTCAAGCATACTTTATTTCTCCCAAAACCCCCTTTAAATAGGGTTAGGAAATCTTTTAAACATGGAAACTAAAAACTCAATCCTAACAGAATCCTTAAATGATTCCAACACCAAAAAGTAAATAATTTTCTTAACTTATTTAAATTAAAAATTCTAAATCACAGATGCTTCTTTCTTCTTCCTGTGATACACCTTACCATATTTAGGATTGACACCCTCAGTATCCGTAACATTACTCCCTCCCTCCAATTTGAGCTTGTCCTCAAGCTCATAATCAGGATAAGCTTCTAGAAATATCTCCCGCCTTTCCCAGGTCGCACTATTTTCATCTCCTTTAGACCACTGAACCAGTAACTCAGGCACTCCTTCATACCAACGAGCACACAACACCTTGTAAGGTTTAAGCAGGGTTTTACCATCAACCAGAGGTGGTAAAGCAGTAAAAACTTCTGGTGGCGCTCCTTGGTGGGGTTTTAACAGTGATATGTGAAACACATTGTGGATGCGGCTACCCTTTGGAAGGGCTAAACGATATGTGACGGATCCAATTCGTTGCACCACTCGGAATGGTCCATAAAACTTTGGAGAAAGCTTTGTGAACTTCGACTTAGCCACAGTGAGTTGCCGATAGGGTTGGAGTTTCAACCAAACCCAATCGCCTTCTTGAAATTCCAACTGTCTGTGGTGACTATCATAAGTCAATTTCATGCGTTGTTGAGCTTGAGCAAGTCTGACTTTGGCCACAGCTAAAAATTCTGACCGATCAATAAGCATTTGATCCACTGCTTCGACTTTAGAATGACCTGCAACATAATTAAGTAATTTGGGAGGATCACGCCCATAAACCAATTTAAATGGTGTAGTCTTCAAAGCTGTATGATAAGAAGTGTTATAACAGTACTCTGCCCATGGTAACCAGGCCAACCATGTGCGGGGTTTATCTCCCACCAAGCATCATAGATACATTTCAATGGTGCGGTTGACTACCTCTGTTTGACCGTCACTTTGAGGATGGTATGCTGTGGAAAAAGCTAACTGGGATCCAGATAGGCGAAACAATTCTTTCCAAAAAGCACTTTGAAATACTTTGTCCCTGTCTGAAACTATCGTTTCCGGCAGACCATGCAAGCGAAAAACCTCCATAAAGAAGGCTTTAGCGACAGACTCGGCAGTGTAGGGATGGCCCAAGGGAATAAAGTGACCAGACTTAGAAAATCGATCTACTGCCACCAACAAGACTGATTTACCCGACACCTTGGGTAATGCCTCGACAAAATCCATTGAAATATCCGACCATACGGACTCCGGAATGGGTAAGGGCTGAAGAAGACCGGCTGGTTGGAGGGTTTCCCACTTATTTCGTTGGCACACGACACACTCTCGGATAAAAACTTGGATGGTAGCCTTCCAACCCTTCCAATAAAAATCACTGCGTATCCGCTCCATCGTCTTCTGTACCCCTTCATGAGTGGCATTATGAACTGCCGAGACCACCTCATCAACCAGCGGAGAGCTGGATTTTAAATACACCCGTCCGTCACGAATGATCAGCCCGTCTTTAACAGCCCACCTGCTATCCTCGATTCCGTCAATTATCCTTCTTCCCAATTCCCGAAGTTCATCATCCGTTTCAATTTCAACGCGTAGAGTGTCGAGTATTTTTGGTTGCAAATCTGACATCAAAAAGAGTTCTCCGGTCTCGATTTGGTCCTCTCTCCTTGACAGCGCATCAGCTGCTCGGTTTAACGATCCCGCTCGATATTTGACCGTAAAATCAAAACCAAGTAATTTGCTAACCCAATGTTGTTGTGGGGATGTGGTTAGCCGTTGGTCCAGCAAGAATTTGAGGCTGTAGTGGTCGGTTTTGATCAAAAAGTGTCGGCCCTATAGGTAGGGCCGCCAATGAGCCACAGCTTTAGCCAACCCAATTAGCTCTCGTTCATATGCCGGAAGCTTGTGATGTCGATCAGCCAATTTCCGACTAAAGAAAGCCACCGGGTGATTGTTTTGTTGCAAGATGGCCCCAATTCCACTACCTGATGCATCGCACACAACAATAAAAACTGCTGTGAAATCTGGTAATGCAAGAACTGGGGAGTTGGAGAGCGTGTCTTTCAACTGAGTAAAGGCGAGTTCGGACTCAGGGCCCCACACAAAACTGTTACGACGTAACATACCCGTCAATGGACCCGCGATGATCCCGTAATCCTTGATAAACTTACGATAGTATCCCGTTAATCCAAGAAACCCACGCAAGGTTCGAACGTTGTGTGGTTTTGGCCAATCACGAATAACTTATATCTTCGTTTGATCGACTGCTACTCCGTTTCCCTGAACAATGTGCCTCAAATAAACTACTTCTCGGCTCCCAAATGTGCATTTAGTTCGCTTTAAAAATAATTTGTGTTCCCGCAACAGCTCAAAAACGATTCGAAGGTGAGCCACATGGTCAGACATAGAGGGGCTATAGACTAAAATATCATAAAAAAAAAACGAGGACACACTTTCGTAGATACGCATGAAAGACTTCGTTCATCAAGCTTTGGAATGTGGATGGGGCATTGGACAACCCGAAAGGCATCACGAGAAATTCAAAGTGTCCATGGTGAGTGCGAAAAGCAGTTTTCTCGATATCAGGTTGGAACATGCGTACCTGATGATATCCCGACGTAAGATCTAACTTGGTGAAGACCGACGCACCATGCAGCTCATCGAGGAGCTCTTCAACCACAGGTATCGGAAATTTATCCTTCACAATTTTTGCGTTGAGCTCCCTATAATCTGCACAGAAACGCCACGTTTTATCTTGTTTTTTGACTAGTAGTACAGGTGAGGAAAATGGTGATTGGCTAGGTCTGATAGTCCCGCTTCTCAACATCTTTGTGCATTGCTTTTCGATTTCATCCTTAAGAAGATGAGGGTAACGGTAAGGATGGACAGCCACCGGTTCGGTGTTGACTTTGAGGCGGATTCAGTGGTCATACGGCCAAGAGGGGGGTAACCCCTGTGGTGTTTTAAATATATCATCAAATTCCTCCAAAAGATCGTCTAGATTTGGTGCTAGGCTATCATTCTTGGTGAGCACGGACAAGCTTGCTGTGTCAGGGGACTCGCCAAACCACTTAATATTCTTCCCGTTAACCGTGAACTCCATTTCCCGGACCGTAAAATCCCATAATATCTTTCCTAGTTGTTGTAGCCATCGGAAACCTAATACGATTTCAAAACCTTCTAAAGGAATAGCAAACATATAAGCCTGGAATTTATATCCTTGTACCTCTACTGGTAAGTTTTTGCTGGTCCCGCTGCTGGCCATTCTGCCCCCATCTGGAAGTGCGACCCGTAGTCCTGGTCGGTGTTGAATGGTTACCCCAAGTTGTTCAGCTGCCCTTGTTGCTATGAAATTGTGGGTACTTCCACTATCCAAAAGCACCCACGCAATTCCATTCCCAATCTTGGCCCAAACTTGAAATGTTTGCTCCGTCTTCTCACCCTTGATTGCATTTAGCGATATTGTGGGGGTGTCTTCCTCATAATCATCATTTTCTTCCTCGTCTGCCATCATGATGCAAAACAGTTTAGCACATTTGTGACCAATAGAGAACATCTCATCACAATTGAAACAAAGGCCTTTAGCCCATCTCTCTGCCATCTCTGCTGTTGTGAGGCGTTTAAAAGTTGGGTTGCGAGTTTCTGACTTCGTGGTTCCGGTCCCACCCGTGGTTGCTTCTCGGTGCATGTTCCTGTTTGATAAGGGTGCCCCAAAACTTCTTGGGCGACCTTCTTCTGCTAGTTTGAGCTCAATTTGTCGTGCGAGATTCATGGCATAGTACAACGTAGTGGGTCTAGCAAATTCTACCTCGTAGCGGATAGCATTGATCAAACCCGCATAGAAATGCCATATGCTTTGGTCAGGAGTTACTCCTGTCGTCCTTCCTAGCAAGGACTCGAAATTCTCGCAGTAGTCTTCCACTGAACCGGACTGCCTTAAACGGGTCAATTCACCCAACGGGTTCATACTCATTGGTGGACCGAATCTAATTTTGCATTCTTCTGAAAACTCAAACCAGTTCAAGCGTGTCTTCATCCGTCTCAGGTTGTGGTACCACCCGCTAGCTTTTCCTTGTAGTGAAAAGGTGGCCTGTCTCACCCAAGCCTCTGTGGGAGTCTGTTGCTCTTCAAAAAAATCTTCACACCTTTGCAGCCATTCGATTGGATTACCCTTTCCATCGTAGGTCGGAAACTCCATCTTGGCGAACCTTGGAATCCTCCCCCCCGTGGTATCCTGTATCCCCACTATCGTTCCCTTCTTTTGGTGACTCTAGTCCCCGACGCTTGGATCCCTCAGGTTTAGCCGACTGCCAATTGGTTTTGAAGGGTTGTTGTCCTCCGGTGCGCCAGGACTCAAAATTCTTTCCTAATCCTCGTCCCATTCCTTCTTCGACCTGCCCTCTGCCCCTTCCGATCGATCCTGTACAGTAAGTCCACTTGCTGTTTGGATCAGTGCCAAAAGTCCACCCTCGGCCCCTTCCTCGACCGTGTTCTGGTGGATCCTCGAATTTCTCCCCCTTCGAAACAAATGTCTTCACTGTCTTGATCCTCCCCTTGTTTGTATGTCTTGTTCTGACTTTGTGCTTGTAATCCATCTTCTATCGCAGCTTTCTTGGACTGCAGGGTTTCAACAGCCGCCTTCAGATCATTGGTGCTGGTCTTTAATTCATTGGTGTTTTGTGTTTGTTGGATCATAAACTCTTCCAATTTCTTCATCAATTCATCGTTTGAGACAGACATCACGAGATTTGGCTCTGATACCAAACTTGATACGCCCCGGGATTTAGATCTCGTGACAGGTCCCGTGGTTGTGCTTCCTGCAGCCGTGAGTACTATTAAGACCTAATCTCCCTGGAGAGGAGGCTAGGTTAAACTATTCTAAGAGATTAAAATAATTGATTTCAAGCATACTTTATTTCTCCCAAAAACCCCCTTTAAATAGGGCTAGAAAATCTTTTAAACATGGAAACTAAAAACTCAATCCTAACAGAATCCTTAAATGATTCCAACACCAAAAAGTAAATAATTTTCTTAACTTATTTAAATTAAAAATTCTAAATCGCAGATGCTTTTTCTTCTTCCTGTGATACACCTTACCATATTTAGGATTGACACCCTCAGTATCCATAACAGATCAACGGGGGTGGCACCCCACACCTGAGCTGTTCGCTACAGTTAGACTAGACCAGTTTAGGGTGACAAAAACCTTACCGTATTCCATCGGCGTCCAAAAATGCCATGACAGGCGAAATTGCCATTATCTAGTATGGTTATAACGACTCACTTAGAGGAATTAACGTTATAAAATTTACGGGAAACCATCTTGTGATTGATAACACGGTAAAATACTCGCGCTGGTACTCAACCTCGGGTGTTGAGATTCCATCATTCTCATAGGCAGGCGACATCGGGGTTGTCTGGGGTCATTCTCTTTATACTCTCACAAACATTAACACACATGCATTAATACAAGATCGGACACAAACATATCAAACTGTTTTTCAGAAAATATCGGATTTTCTGGTGTTTACAAAGTAATACAAAACATTTTCTCAAACATGCTTGAGAACTCACCAACATTTTTATGTTGACATTTTTAAATTAACTTGTATTCTCAAGAAACCGTTGATCAGGTTGGGCAGAAAGAACTCATGGATATTTTGTTATGTTTTGTTTCATCATACTTTGAATATTTTGGCATGTAATATTGAAATACAATATTTGATGTAAACCAATGACAGTTGTAATAATACATGTGTAATGATGATGATGTTATGTTTCGATTATATACTCTGTGATGATACTACAAGAATGAAGTCACCCAAGCCCTCGGACGTTTCCGCCTTCTGGTTTGGGGGTGTGACAGATTGGTATCAGAGCCAGGTTTATAGTGAACTGACATATCTAATCATACAAGATATGCAACTATATATACAATGGGACTAAACCACTCTGAATAAAATAATACCTAAGTGTGCATTAATACTATAACCCTAAAAGTATCTGGAGGAAATTGAACACCATGGTTAAACCCGGACAGTTATGTAGTCGTATTGGGGATAAATATAGTCTGATCAACTATATTTATTCAAAATACGACCAACATGTGTTTGGGAGTGATCATGTTGGGAAATGAATCTAGAAACTTACCTCGTATCCAAAAAGCCCTAAGGGACTCAAACCTAAACAATTAAAATACTATAGGAGTATTTGAAATGTTATCTACGTACACTCTCCTTACACGTTTCTCACCCCTCAGTTTCTCGCGCGGTCGTCACGGAAGAAGTCCAACAAGGTATCCTTTACTACCAGGCCCTGGTGGCCAATGGGTTGATTGAAGGAGAACCTGTTATGGGTCAGGAGGCAGATCCAGGTGTAGGACCTGAGGAATACATGGAGACCGACTATGAGTTCGGGGAACCTGACGAGGACATGGAGGGAGATGGGGACACTAATGAAGTCCCTAGCGAGCCTCCCACTTCAGAGGTGATGCAGGACCACCCCACAACACCGAGGGATCCCGTCGATCGGACTCGCTCCTTAGAGGAGGAGGTTGCCACCCTTCGGCAACAACTATTAGCAGCAGAAGCTCGAGCCGTGCAAGCAGAGCATGAGTGGGATGATGTCATTAGGGAGATGAGCGAGATGGCTGACCTCGTGGCACGACACTTTGGCAAGTGATTTCACCACCAGATCCTCCCCATCGTTACTAGGATCAGTATCACTTATCAGCACTACCGTTATGATTTTCTTTTATGTACTACTCTATGTACTACCGACTACATGACTAAGTGATTATACTATTCATGGAGTCGTTAGGCTGTCATATTTTATTTCTTTTCATGTATTGTATGCCTTATAAAGGCAAATTTTCATGTATCAAAAGATTATCATTAATGAAAACGGTTATATATTTTCTCATGATGTTGTTATCTGTTATGTGTTCTATTACTTTTATTACATGTTGATTGTATGCACTCACTTACTCATACACAACCCTATCAACGAAACTGTTCTATAATTGAAGAATCATGAAACTAGAATGCACTAAATACTCAACATCTATCCGTTCCATGACAGAAGATGCCTCAGAGAACGAATCGCGGAAACAACACAACACCAACACCACCAGAGATAAACTCAGCCGCGTTCCAAGCGGCAGTGTCAGCTGCGGTCACCGCAGCACTGGCGCAGATTCACAACGGGAAATAACAGTGGAGGTAACGGGCAAGGAGCCAGAAGTTCAAATCAGGGGGATGAACCAAGGACCCGCAAGGACCTGTACCTACAAGGATTTCACGAACGCCAAGCCTCGAACCTTCAACGGGACAAGAGGCGTAATAACTCTAAAGAGGTGGATAGAAAAAGTTGAATAAGTATTCGAGATCTGCGGATGCCCCGAGGAGTGCAAGGTGAAGTTTGCAGCTTGCACATTCGTCGATCAAGCTCTTTCTTGGTGGAATGGTCACGTAGAGGCCATGACACTCCCAGTGGCGAATGCTATGCCATGGGAGGAGCTGAAAGAAATGCTGATGGAAGAGTACTGTCCAAGAGGAGAAATCCAGAAGATTGAGCAGGAACTGTGGAATCTCACAGTCCAAAACTCTGACATTGATGCTTACATCTCGAGGTTTAGTGAGTTGTCACTCTTGTGTCCAGGGATGATCACATCTGAAGGGAAGAAGATTGAAAGATTCATATGGGGTCTGACCTCTCCAATTCAAGGAAATGTAATGCAGCTAACCCAGAGACGTATGACAATGCTAAAAGGCTAGCCAAGAAGTTAGACGATCATGGCAACAAGAATGGTGCCAAAGCTGGATAAATTGAAGACAGGAAAGAAGGAAAAGATAACAAGAAAAACAAAGACAACAAGCGAAAGGGGCGACAAAACCAAGAGTCATCGAAAAAGCAACAAACTGTAGCAGCTCATGCTGTTACTGCTCAGGTTACCTCAACACCACCTGCTCCAATCTCAACTACGCAAACCACGACCACGCAATACTCGGGAACCCAGCCCAAGTGTAACAAATGCGGCTTCCACCACTATGGGGAATGCATAGATATGCAGTGTACAAGTTGCAACCGTAAGGGCCATGCCGCACGATACTGAAGATCTCAGCCCCAACAGAACCAACAGCCGAACAACAACAACAACAACAACAACAACAACAACAACAACCACAACCGCAACAACAATAACAACAACAATAATGCTGGGGCTAGTCACACTTGTTATGGGTGTGGAGGAACTGGCCATTCAGATGCAATTGCCCCAAGGCCAACAACCAAGGAGCAGGAGGATCGGGAAGGGTCCTGACGTTGGGTCAAGGTGAAGCAGTTCAAGACCCGACGGTTGTTACTGGTACGTTCCCATTTAACAACACTTACGCATGTATTTTATTCGATAGCGGAGCCGAGCGGAGCTTCGTTAGTAACAAATTCAAACACTTATTAAACCAACAACCCTAGAAGCTAAACGAAACCTTCACGTTGGAGATGGATAATGGGAAAACCAAAACAACCAAAGATGTTTATGTAGGGTGCACATATCACTAAACAACCATTCATTTCAAATAGATTTGATGCCAGTAAATATAAGGAGTTTTGATGTGATAATCGGCATGGATTGGTTAAGCTCCCATCGTGCTGATATTATGTGTCACGAGAAGGTCGTTCGCCTTCACCTCCCCAATCACGAAACCCTAATGATCTATAGTGATAAACCTGGCGCCAATCTTCGTCTTATCTCGTGCATCAAGGCATAGAAGTGCCTACACAAGAAAGACTATGCCTTCCTCGCCCATGTTGTGGATAAGGCCAAAGAAGAAGTAAACATTAAAGACATCCCAGTGGCATGCGACTTCCCGGATGTATTCCCTGAAGACCTTCCAGGAATACCCCCAGAAAGGCAGGTTGAATTCCGAATCGACCTAATACCAGGAGTCACATCAATTGCCAAATCACCCTACAGGTTAGCTCCCGCCGAAATGCAAGAGTTATCCAGTCAATTAAGCGAATTGTTGAGCAAATGATTCATCAGACCAATCATCTCACCGCGGGGAGCTCCGGTCTTGTTTGTCAAGAAGAAGGACGGATCCTTCAGGATATGCATCGATTATAGGGAATTGAATAAGCTCACTGCCAAAAACCGATACCCCCTCCCTCAGATTGACGATCTATTCGACCAGCTTCAAGGAGCTAGTTACTTCTCCAAGATAGATCTAAGATCCGGTTATCATCAGCTTCGAGTCCGAGAAGAGGATGTAACGCCCGTGTTTCTAGGCTAGGCATTAATATTAACGTAATAGTCTAGGTTAACCTTTGTAACTCATTTTGAAGTAATAAAGAGGAATTATGTGAATATTATGTGCTGATCTGCTTAATTATTATGATTAATGAATTAAGAATAAAAATAAGCGTCGAAAATAAATATTAAATAAAGCCGATATCTAAGGATAAAGTTGTAAAGAATCTCGTTAGAAACATTTAGGCGAAAACCTCATCGAAATCCGAGTTATAACGAAGAAGTTATGACCTGTCGAAGTTTCACGACAAAACCGGCACGGTGCCGAATGACGTAAAAATTGAGTTTTTGAATAACTACTTTTTAGCCTTAGTGATCTAAACGAAAGTCGTACTGTTCGTTAAACCGAGAGTATGTATAAAAAGAACGTCCAAATCTGACTTCGTATGAGGAAGTTATGATTTTTCTAAGTTTCAGCTTAGCAGTAGACAGC